TTAAACTTGATTTCTTTGTAACTTTTAGAGGCAAAGTTTGCTGTTCTAGAGAGGCGTGATTCCAGGTCATTGTCAGCCCTATTTAAATTAGAGTTTAAAAATTGAAGGTGTGGAGTTATATTTATTACCAATTCCATGAGTCATGCTGTATAACTTTGTATGTTTTCTTTGTAGAGATTTCCTATGTAGGTTGCTATGTTTTATGTTTCTCACTTGATTTTTAAAAAGTCTATAAAAACAATTGAGGCTTTAGTTCATCAAGAAATAACTAAGAATCTGGGACTACTAATTAAGTTTATATCTGATTTCTGTGGATTTAGCCAAGGTGGTCTTTTAAAATAACTGTAGGGACCTATTTTTTGATCATTTTTTAACCACTGAAAGTGCATCCCAAACATGAAGAAACCATGTCACATAATGTGTAGTTTTAAGTAACAGGAAGTTTATTGCTTTATACTCAGAAGTCACAGGAACAACATTAGTGTGGGATATAATTGTTTATTCACCTAACTTTTTATTTTATACAAGGCCCTATACTGGGGAAACAAACCAATAAGACTTAGTCATTGCCTTTTAGGAGCCCCTTAATAATGGGAGATGTGCAAACGATCACATTGCCATATGGTAAGTGATATAGAAGAGAATGTACAAAGTGCTTTATAAGCTCAGGGGAGACATGGATTAGCTTTGCTTAGAGGAATAAGGAAAAGCTTCATTGAGGAGGTGGCTTACAGAATGATGATTACAAGGTGATCAAGAGGTGATTGATGGTAGGTAGTATTCCCCAAAGAACAATAGTATATAGATACCCAGAGATGGATAGAATATGGTTAGGTGGCTTTGGGGAATAGTGAGCAGTTTAGCATGCCAAGATTAAAGGGCTGCACAAGATTGGGTGCAGCAGCAGGGTATCGTATACTTGGAAAGAAACAGGGCCTTGAATGATATGGTAATGATTTTGTGTCTCATCTTCTAGGAAGACAAAAACTACTAAAGGACTTTAGGCAGTGCATTGATGTGATTAAATGTGAAATTTTGTAACTGGTCATGGAGGGTAGAATAGAAGTGGAGACACTGGAAGCTTGGACATCTTTTAGGGGATTGTTGCTAAGATACAGGCAGGACATAAGAAGGCCTGACATGGAGCAGAGGCCATAGGTTTAAAGATAGGAGGGAAGGCCTTCAGAGACCACTTCTTTGAGGGAGGATTGATAGGATCCTTGGCTGATTGGGCATGAGGTCAAGGATGACTTGATGACCCAAAGGTTTTAAAAATAAAGTGTAAAATGCAAGGTCAGTTTGATACAAATATAGCAGTATTATCATTGCCCTTTAGGTGTTAGCTGTTCAGATGAAGATGAAAAGCCCAGAAAACGAAGGCGAACAAACTCTTCTAGCTCCTCTCCCGTTGTCCTAAAGGAAGTTCCAAAGGCTGTTGTTCCAGTCTCAAAGACGATCACTGTGCCTGTGAGTGGTAGTCCCAAGATGAGCAACATCATGCAGAGCATTGCCAACTCCTTACCACCCCACATGTCTCCTGTGAAAATAACCTTCACCAAACCGTCAACACAGACAACAAACACAACAACACAGAAGGTATGTGGTAGAGGGAGTCTCTGCCTGCCAATTGTTTCTTTCAGACAATATAATTGAGATTTAATTAACATGCACTGAGCGCTTACTATGTGCTTGGCATTATGCTGGGAATGTTCACATCTCTTACTTTGTTTAATTCTGCACATAAAGCTTTGGGATAGGTATTATTATTTCACTTTTTGCAGATGAGGCTTAGTAATGCTAAATAACTTGCCTAAGATGACACAGCTAGCAGATCTCCTACTTCTAAGAATTGTGCTATCTTTTATAATTGTAATGCCTTTGGAAAAAATTAAAATAGAAAAATTTTTAAAAATCTATATTTGTATGACCTTACTTTAGGAAATCAGTTTTTACTTTGCCAAAGTAATAAAGTTGTCAGTTAAGTGTTTCATAGAAGAAATGAAGGCTATAATTAAGTAAATGATTGTCATCTTTTAAAATTCTTTATATACTAGTATTTATACATTCCTAAACTCTTCTTTAAGTATGTTAAAGTCATCAGTATTCTGTCAGTTTTATGTTATTAGAACCCTCTGCCTCCTCATACTAAGCTTGTTGCACACTTATATTTCTGGGATCTCCCTTTACTGTTATTCTGATCTTCCTCTTTGTTAGTTTATTGACTCATTTTGCTAGAGTGTATTCTCCAGTAGCTTCCTGGTGTATGGTTGAATAGAAAGTAAATTTTTTTAGACCTTGCATGGTGGACTGCAAATTTCTTTATTCTATCCTCCCACTTTCTTGATGGTATAGCTAGGTAAAGTATTCTAGGTTGGAAATCATTTTCCATGTGAATTTTGAAGGTATTGCTCTGTTGGCTTCTGGCTTCCAGTATTGCTTTTGGGAATCCCAATGCCATTTTAATTTCAGATCCTGTTTTCCTCTTTGAAAACTTTTAGTAACTTTCAGAGTTCCGAAATTTCAAGGTAATGTTCCTTGGTATGGGTCTTTGTTACCCAATAGTTTGTGTTCTCAGTGGGCCCTTTTATTCTGGACACTTATGTCCTTCAATTGTGGAAAATTTTTTGAGTTATTTCTTTGATTTTTCTCTGTTTTCTCTTTTTGGATCACCTATTATTCACCTGTTGAATTGCCTGGATTGATCCTTTAATTTTCTTATGTTTTCTCATTCCTAATTTCCATTATTTTTGCATTTTTTTCCTACTCCAGTATAATGATAAAAGCCTGGGTGTCAGAACAGACTTCCTGGATTCAAATTCTGGCTTTTACCACTTACTAGCTATGTGATTGGGAAAACCAAACTCTACCTAAGTTTTCTCATCTGTAAAGCAGGGAAAACAATATTATTTTGTAGGATTTTGGGTGTCATTTATTTAATGAAATAATATATGAAAAACTTAGAATAGAGCCTGGCACATAGTAAATGCTCTGTAAGTATTATTATTTTCCTTATGCCTTAACTTTATCTTTCAGTACTTTTATATAATTTAGTTTTGCTGTCATACTTTAAATTTCTAGTAAGTCTTTCTTGTTCTCTAAAAGCTCTTTTTTAAAAAAAAATAGCATCCTGCTCTTTCATAGAACCATTGTATTTTACTTGATGATATTCATGATAATATTTTTATGTTTTCTTCTTTCATTTTCTCTCTCTTACATGTAAGTTCCTTTTATTTATTTTGATCTCTTTTATTTCACTTTCCTTAAGTGTCTGGCTATCTGCTTATAAATGAAAGTAGGCACTAAAAAGATGACAGAAAGCTCTCTGTGTATGCTTGGGACATATTAATGGTGACTCATTGTAGATTGACCTAGCTGGGCTGTTTTGTTGAAGAACACTAACTACCCCTTCACCTCCATCAGTTGTCACTATCTTTAGGGCTTTTCCTTGGATTGGTCAGATTCCTTAGAGAAGAATGTTCTAGTCTCCTACCTTGAGTAGTATAAGCTAGACTGTCAGTGTTTGAGAAGTAAATGGGGGGAGAAGGCTAGGTGGGCTCACCATTCATTATGTAGACTTTACTTAACGCCTTTGTTTTTAGTACAGTACTGCCCGCCCTCAGCTGTGCCAGATATCATCCGATATCCTTGGATTTAGTCACCCTCAAGAGAGTATATTCCTAGCCTTCCTTTAGGGTGGGGAAGGATAGCTAGTGATCTACATGCTTCTTAAACAGATTTTCAACTAGTTTTCCTCTCTTTAGTTTCACTTTTACCTCCACTTCAGAAGTTTCTGGCGTTCTCAATTCTTGAGTCTTTCTGGGGTTCACTAATGGTACTTGTCTTATTTGCTAATCGTCTGTTTGCTAACTTAGGTTTCCACTTTCTTGGATGTGCTTGATCTGTTAGTACTTGTCTTTAACCTTCAAACTATTTTAGGGAGACTTTAGGGAAGAAGTGGAGGTAAATTCTGTGTTCAGTGATCTTTCCATCTTTGAATTTTTAGTCCTGTGATAACTTTCATTTAAAGAACCTCTTTGGGCCGGGCGTGGTGGCTCACGCCTGTAATCCTAGCACTCTGGGAGGCTGAGGCGGGCGGATTGTTTGAGCTCAGGAGTTCGAAACCAGCCTCGGTAAGAGCGAGACCCCGTCTCTACTGAAAATAGAAAGAAATTAATCGGCCAATTGTGCGTGCCCTGTAGTCCCAGCTACTTGGGAGGCTGAGGCAGAAGGATTGCCTGAGCCCAGGAGTTTGAGGTTGCTGTGAGCTAGGATGACGCCACTGCACTCTAGCCCAGGCAACAGAGTGAGACTCTGTCTCAAAAAAAAAAAAAAAAAAAAAAAAAGAACCTCTTTGAGTTTCCTGGAAAGATATCATTATATCATATATAAAAAATTATCATTATTCTCTCAATAACTAGAAGTGATAATGAGCCGATCTGTGGGATATAATTCTATTTTCAGTCTGAGGACGAGGGATTATGGTGTAGTATTAAAATCAAACAAAAATTTTTGTAGTCAGAGACTCCTGTGTTAGAACCTCAGGTTTTCCAGTATGACCTAGGATAAATTAGCGTTTCTATATCTGTTTATTCATCTGTGAGATGAAAATAATGCCAATCTCATGAGGTTATAGTAAGGATTAAATGAGATTGGCTGTTTAAAGTACAACATAAGGTATGTATTAAAAAAAATGATAGCATCCTTCCCTTGCAGGTATTTTATGGAAAGTAGCGTTTTGTCTGTTTACACTGTTGATAATGAGCTGTTCCAAATAAGTGAATTGATCAGTTCATTGAAGTTTACCCTTAATATATAAAAAATAACTATTTTGATGACTTCTTAAATGTTATACTGAACAGAATTTTTACATTTTTATTTGATGACTTCCAAGATAATCTTTCTGAATGTCATTTTTTGTATACTATTATAGTTATTGCTTTCTGGACTGGCCCTATATTTGGTGGCATCAGCCTGCTATACTCTGAATTTTCAAGTCTGCTTACTGTAATGTTTTTACTGCCTTCATTGCTGGATCTTATTTTCTCAGTAATTCTTCTCCCTTCTGCCCTTATCTACTTTAATTTGATATTTGAGAAATAGTAAAGCAAAGCTATTAGCTAAAAGAGTACCTACCTCCCATCCATATCCTCCTATTCCCTTACTCTGTTTTATTTTTATTCATAATACTTTTAACTAGTTGATGTTATATTACAAAGTTGTTTATCTTCTGTTTCTCCCATAGCCTATAAGCTGTTGAGGGTAGAGACTTTGTCTTCTTTATCACTGTATTCCCTAGTGTTTAGAACAGTACCTGGTATGTAGTAGGTGCTAATTAATATTTGTTGAATGAATGAACAAATTAATTATTAAATGAATAAATAGATCTGGTGCCAATATTGGCTCTGCTACCTCTCTTGAGCCTCAGTTTTCTTATAAAAAAAAATAAAGATGATAGTAATATTGCCTAGAGTTACTGGGAAAATTAAATGAGGCAATTCATGTAAAATACTTAAAATAGTACAAATAATGAGTGCTCAGTAAATGTCACCTAACATTATTAACTTTCCAATCTTTGATAAATGAACATAAAAATACTTATAATAGTTGGGGTTCACCTATTTAGTGAAGTTTGTGAACTTTTTTTTTTAACAATTCATTGGCTTTATCATATCTTTTGTTTTTTTCTCTGAATTTTCAATTGAGAATGGATAGTTGAGGTTTTCAGACTTATGATGTTTATAAGTGGGCATATTCATCTCCAAAGTCATATATGAGCCATACTATGAGATTTCAGGCTCAGAACCTTAGATGTGTCTTACTGTGTCTAAAAAAAAAATAAACATTTAAAACAGATTAAATTAAAACTAAGACTCATTCATTCCCCAAATATTTATCGAGCATCTGTTATGTTCCAGATGTAAAACTGTACTTTTTTACTTCGTGTGTACTCAATGCCATCAGTTTTATTTTGTGGACAAGCTGAGTACAGGTAGGACTGATAGGACTCACTTGGGGTGTTTTGTTTCGTTTCGTTTTCCTTTTGCTGGGTAATTGAATTTTTCAGAAATCTATCCAAGGCTATTGCCATTATTGTATTTACCTTGGATTTCTCACAAATCCTGTGTAAGGCAACTTAGGAATTATTTTAGGTGAAGTTGACTTTTATATCAAGTAAATTATTTATGAATTTGTGGACTTCATTCAAATTCAAATAGGTCATATATTTCCAAGGTAGACAAATTTCCACCTATGTTAATGTGGTGCCTTCATTTTAAATATAACATTGATGCAGCACTTATATAAACAAAGCAGCAGAATATAGCTTTATGCTTTCATGTGCTTGATTCATATTTTTCATTTTGTCCTTAGGGTGCAAGTCCCAGCACTCTTAAGGAGTTTTTGTGAGTGCTAGAAGGTCAGTAATTTGAATTATGGCCTGAATAAACACTGTTTGGTTCACGTGGTTTCAAAACCCCTATATTTCCCCTGTTGTAATAAGTAACTTTAAAGTGCAAGTAGGTTTTCTCCAGGGTGGAGCTCTAATTTTGGATAACACCTTTTCAGATCAGAAATCGTCTTGCAGACTGAAATCTCAAAATATGTTTTCTCATTTGTATTTATAACCTAAAACCTACTCTTTAAGACTCTAGATTTATTTTGCTGAAGTTTTGTTGTCTTAATGTTAGAAGCCTACCTGCATACTCTAGTTCTGAAATTATAAATATTTGACACAAGTGTAAACACTTCCCTTTCCCTTGCCCATGACAGACATTGCTGATTAACTGTGGCATACTTTCCTGCCAAGCCTTGGCAAATCCTCATCTGTGCCTCACAGTCCTTATAAGCATTGTGCTCCAGGAAGCTACTACTATTAGTTCAGAACCGGCAAAAGTGAGACCTAATTGCCATTACTCTAATGGTTTGGCTATGGTAGTAGCTGTGAGTTCTTTGGATTCTGGGAGGTATCAGAAGTTGGGGAAAAGATAAAAGAAAATTTTTAATGAAACAAAAATAAAGTACATTGAAATATACTTCCCAATTGATTTGATGTGTAATGTCTTCACTGATATCTTTTGAACATTTAAGTAGTAATAATAAGCTACTAATAAGTACCATTTGTTGACTGCCAAATATTGACCACCTGCTATGTGCCTAGCACTATGCCAGATGCTTAACATCATTATCTCATTTAGTCCTTGTAATGATTTTGCAAGGTAGGTATTATTATCCCCATTTTTAGATGAAAATTGGAGCCCGGAGATTTTAACATGTCCAGGGGCTTGCCATTTATAAATGGCAGAGGCAGGATCTAAGTGCAGGTTTATTTGACTTAAGCTTGCGGTCTTTTTACCATATTGGTCTACTTCTCAGTTTGTACAACGGTTCATTGTTGTTTTTCTAATAATGCTATGTAGGTATTTACTGGTCAAGTCTATGTGTAAGTATGCTGGTCAACTCTATATAGGTGTTTACTGGTCGAGACTTAGGTATCTTTCTTGACTCCTTAAATAACTAACAAACTCCTTAAAGTAATGAACAAGTACTTATATTTTGTAATTCTCTGTAGCTCTGAAGATACATAAATAACAATATTATGATCAAAGCTTCTTTGAGATGTAGGTACTAACTGTTTCAAAACACTTTTTCTATCCGAGGTAGGTAGAAATAATTTCAGTGAAAGAGGAAGGAGATAATCTGCTCTGTTTTGGGTTTCACTATACCACCATTATACTCACCCCAGAATAAAACTGTGATACTACAAATTTATAAATAATTTTTGTTTTCTCAACTGTAAAATGGGGATAATAATAGTATCTGTGTCATAGGATTTTTGGGATATTTAAATAATCTAATATATATTAGCTATAGGAGCTACTCTTGATTTTCTTCTTTTCCTCAATCCTGCCATTTCCATTCATCAACAATTCCTAGTCTCTACCTTTCAGAATAATCCGAATCTGATCACTTCTCTTTATTTCCCTACTAACACCCCAGTCCAAGCAGCCTCTATCATTTATTGCTCAGTCTATTGCAATGGCTTCTTAACTGGTCTCACTGCTTCTACTCTTGGCCTCTCACCATATAGCAGGTAGAGTGATCTTTTAAAATATAAATCAAATTTTGTTTTTTCCCTACTTAAAATGCTCCCTTGGCTTCCCATGAAACTTAGTATAAAATCTAAATTTTTTACTCTATTTGATGTGGCCTTTGCTTACTTTTCCAATGCCTCCTTGCCCTATATGCTTTTGCTTCACTGGCTTTCTTTCTGTTTTTAACTACATCAAGCTAATTCTGACATTAGGTCCTTTACTCCATACCGTTCTCTCTGTCTGAAATGCTTTGTTTCTAGATCATCTACAGTTTTCTAGCTATATTAGCTGAACCTTGACATTTCTTTTCTGCCTCTTTTTTCTCCATTCTTCATATCAACCTATGAACATAACCTGTTGGTTTTAACCTTAAAATATATTCAGAATCTGTTCACTTTTCACTACTTCCACCATAAACACTTTGGTCACCGTCTCTGCTTGGTTTGTTATAGGAGCTTCCTAATTGTCTCCCTGTTTCTACCTTCATTGCCCTATTATACTTTTTACCTAGCAGATAGAGTAATGATTATTTTTAAAAAGATATTTTTTAGAACAGTTTTAGATTTACAGAAAAATTGAGAAGATAATGCAGAGTTTTCATATATCCTGGACCCAGTTTCCTCTATTTTAACATTTTACATTAGTATAATACCTTTGTTATAATTAACAGATAATATTAATTTCCTTGGTTTTTACCTATTGTCTTTTTCTGTTCTAGGATACCACATTATATTTCCTTGTCATGTCTCCTTAGGCTCCTCTCAACTGTGAAAGTTTCTCAGACTTTCCTTGTTTTTGATAACTTTTGAGGAGTACTGGTCAAGTATTTTGTAGATGCCCATCTATTAGAATTTGAATGTTTTTCTCATGATTAGACTAGGATTATGGGTTTTTTGGAGGAAGACCACAGAGAGAAAGTGCCAGTTTCATCACATCATATTAAGGGTATATATTGTCAACATGATCTTACTTGATCTAGTCCTCCATTACTTCTCTGTAGTTGTCACCCACTACTCTTTACCTTATAAATTCCTATCCCATTTATTAGATCTTTCAAGTTTCTTGAATATACCAAGCTTGCTTCTGCCTCAGGGCCTGCTCCTTGTGTTATTATATGCTCTTCTATGTAGCAACATGGTTCGTATCCCTATTTCCTTCTGGTTTCTGCTCAAATGTCACCTTATAGAGAGGTCTTTATTCAGTATGTATAAAAAACATGTTATAAAAAAGAATCCCATGATTCTTTATTCTCTTACCCTACTTTATTGTGTCTTCCATTTGTCTCTATTTGACATATATTTCCTTTTTTTGTTCATTGTTTCTCTCCCCTTGCTAGAACGTGAGCTCCTTGGAAGTATGAACTTTGTTTGTTTTGTTCATTCTTCTATTTACCAGCATCTAGAACCATGCCTGGCACATAGTAGATGCTCAATAAATATTTATAAATGAATAAATATCTAAATCACCTTCTAGAAAGATTACGACAGTTTATATACCCTCAGCAGTATATTGAAATGTTTACTTTGCTATATCTTGCACAGTATTGAATGTTATCTTCTAAAATATTTGATTGATAAAAGTTGTTGCTATTAAATCCATTTTGATGATTACTGGTAAAGGAAAGCTTTCATATATTTTTAGTTGTATATTCCTCTCTGTTGAATTGTTTCTTCATGTTTCATAAGCTATTTTTGCATTGTATGTAACTAATTGTGAGTCTGCATACATTAGTAGTACAGTGGGCATGTGAAAGTAACTTATTTTCCCTTCCTTAGGTTATTATAGTGACCACATCACCAAGTTCAACCTTCGTGCCCAACATTCTCTCCAAATCCCATAACTATGCAGCAGTCACTAAGCTTGTACCAACATCAGTCATTGCTTCCACAACCCAGAAGCCACCAGTTGTTATAACTGCTTCACAGTCCTCTCTGGTCAGTAATAACAGCAGTGGCAGCAGCAGTTCTACACCATCGCCTGTTCCTAATACAGTTGCAGTAACAGCTGTGGTGTCCTCTACACCATCTGTGGTCATGTCAACAGTAGCACAAGGTGAGTGGTGATTCACCATTTAATTCTGTTGGTGGTGGTGGGTCGGAATTTTGAAGAAAACTCTGTAGGTATGTTTTTCTGCTTTGGGTGTGCAGGTCCCTATTGTTAGATCAGAGATTACCACTCTTGCCCCCGCCCCCCATCGCCACCTTCAGTTTGAAAATGTCAAGATAGTGGGTTACTCAGTTTTCTTATGTTAATATGCTTACCTCAAGTGTTTTTCAAATGAGTAGTACCTAATCACCTAGGCAATTAACATTCACAAAATGTAGGTTAAATCTTGTCACAACAAATTTGAAAGGACTATACAGATATCTTTAATATAATGAAAATGTTAAATGAGAAACATGAAATTATATTACTGTAGGTTTTTCAGAGGAAATATCAAGTACACAACCTCTTCAAAGTAAGGGATGAGAAGTAGGGGGAAGAAGATGGTTTCAAGGACATGCCATTTGCCTTTTCTTCAGTCTCCTAAATTTTCTGTATTGGTAGATGATGGAAGTATTGTGAAGAGGAACTGAAGTTGAACTCAAGGATAACTTAATAGCAGAGGAAAAGAAATGTGGAAACCTCAGTTCCATTTTAACTTAAATCAGTTAGTTCTCCTCTATGTCTTTGTGTTTCTCCCATATGAAAGGCAAGCAGTGTTCTGTCAGAAATTGTCTTTTTACAGTGTTGATAAATCTTGAGACAGGGATCAGAGGGAAGCATTTATTATATAGAATTCATACTCGCATTTCTCGTCTGTCAAAGGGAGCACAGAAGCAATATAGAAGGATACTTGGTATTAGTTTTCACTGAGTTTTACTTGAATAATATATAGCTTAAGATAGACTGGGGCTTGGAAATAGTTTATGAACTAGTAGTGAATGCAAACACTCAAATAGGAAAACATAATATCTTGATTGTTTTAGTAATGTATAATATATTCTGTGTAACTGTTAGCAAGGAAGAAGTTACATAGACATGGATTACAGTCAGTATTCCTTCACTCTACAGTGGTTACAGTAGGATATAGGAGCATCTGTCATTTTCTGGCTGCAATACCCATTTACTGTCTCCATCAATGACAGGAAATAGCAGGCCTTAAATTTCCTTTTATGTGTTACCTGAAATAATTAAAAAAATCATTCCAACATTTCTACTTGTACAGCAGTAAACTATAATATAGTCTTGTTAAATATAGAAATAATTTTTTTTTTTTTTGAGACAGTCTCACTCTGTTGCCAGGCTAGAGTGCCGTGGCATCAGCCTAGCTCACAGCAACCTCAAACTCCTGGGCTCAAGCGATCCTCCTGCTTCAGCCTCCTAAATAGCTGGGACTACAGGCACGTGCCACCACGCCTGCCTCATTTTTTCTGTTTTTAATAGAGAAGGGGTTTTGCTCAGGTTGCTCTTGAACTTCAGAGCTCAAGCAGTCCTCCTACCTCAGCCTCCCAGAGTGCTAGGGTTACAGGTGTGAGCCATTGCACTTGGCCTAGAAATAATTTTTATACAAAATCAGTTAAAATGCTGGTTGCAAACATGTTCTGAATTCACTATTTCAAAATTTGAAACTGAGAGAAGGAAAGGCCATCTGAATCTTCACCTGACCGGCCCCTATATCAAAAGTAATGTCAATTATCACCTATTGTTAGTTGTTTTTCCTTCTAGGACTCATAAAACAGTTTGCTAAAGTTTTACTGTATTAGAAAGATTACTGTTGTTCCAAGGAAGATGTTATTATTTGAAATGAGAGGTGTTTCTCTTGGTCACTAATGAAATATCTTCAGGCAAAACAAATATTCCATGCTTCTATTTTTCATTCTTAATTTTCTCCTGGTATCCTCTGAATCTCTTGGGAACTTATGACTTCCCCCATTTTTTCTATTTTGCTTCTAAGTATTCTATATCTCTTTGAGCCTTACGTAGTTATAGCGGAACTGGACATGACATCTTAGGGCTTTCTCTTAAAAAGTCACTGGAAGTTAATAGAGAATGATGAATGTGAAAGTAGATGTTCTGTAGATACTCAAGGAAACTATGTAATTATTTTGTTTCTATTTGAAATATTTACTTTAGATATTATTAGTGCTAAGAAATTGAGGCACTTTATTTTTAAAAATGTAAATGTTAGTGGAAGTGGCAACACATAGACTACATTTGTAATTCTGACTGCAGGACTTTTTTTTAGCAGCTCCTGTGTGAGTACCTGGGAGACAAGGATATTCAGAGTCTGCTTCTGTGATCTACTAGAGACAGACTGTTTTAAAGCTGGTGTATCTCTGGTTATTCTTGTAGGGGCAGCTGGTGGTAGAGGGGAAAGGGTCTTAATAGCAGTAACTTGGTGAGTGACTCCTTGTTGATAAAAAAAAAAATCAAGCAGAAATTCTAGAGTTCAGGAATTCAATTGACAAACTGAGAAATGCATGAGTTTCTTAACAGCAGACAGAATTAACCAAACAGAAGAAAGAATTAGTGAGCTTGAAGACAGGCTATTTGAAAATACACAGTTAGAAGAGAAAAAAGAAAGAAGAAATAAGAATGAAACACACCAACAAGATCTAGAAAATAGCCTCAAAAGAGCAAATCTAAGAGTTATTGACCTTAAAGAGGAGGTAGAGAGAGAGATTGGGATAGAATGTTTATTCAAAGAAATAATAACAGAGAACTTTCCAAACCTAGAGAAAGATGTCAATATACAGGTACAAGATCATAGAAAACCAAGCAGATTTAACCCAAACAAGGCTACCTCAAGGCATTTAATAATCAAGCTCCCAAAGGTCACAGATAATGAAAATATCCTAATGGAAGCAAGAAGAAAGAAAAAAATAACTTATAAAAGTTATACATCTGGCAGTAGAGTTCTCAGTGGAAACCTTACAGGCCAAGAGTGAGTGGCATGACATATTTGAAGTGCTGAAGGAAAAAATCCTTAACCCTAGAACATTATATCCTGCAAAAATATCCTTCAGACATGAAGGAGAAATAAAAACTTCCCTTAACAAAGAAAAGCTGAGGGATTTCATCAACACTAGACCTGTCCTATAAGAAATGCTAAAAGGAATTCTTCAGTCTGAAAGAAAAGGATGTTAATGAACGATAAGAAATCTTCTGAAGGTATACAACTCATTGGTGACGGTAAGCGTACAACTACAGAATACTCTTGCTATAATTGCAGTGTATAAACCACTTATATCTTGAGTAGGAAGACTAAAAGGACAAACCTGTTCAAAATAACGATTTTTTGAGAGATAGATAGTATAAAAAGAAATGGATGGGAACAAAAAAGTTAAAAAACAGGGAGGATGGAGTTAAAGGGTAGAATTTCTGTTAGTGTTCTCTTTGTTTGTTTGTTTATAAGCAGAGTTGTCATATGCTTAAAATAATTGGTTACAAAATATTTTTTGCAAGCCTCCTGATAACCTCAAATCAAAAAGCCTACAACAGATACACAAAAAATAAAAAGGCAAGAAATTAAAACACACTACAGAGAAAACCACTTTTAGCAAAGGGAGATAGGAAGTAAGTAAGAAAAAAAGAGAGGACCACAAAACAATCAGAAATCAAATAACAACTTGGCAGTAGTAAGTCCTTACCTAATAATAATAACATTGAATGTGAATGAACTAAACTCTCCAATCAAAAGACAGAGTGGTTGAATGGATTAAAAAAAAAAGAGCCAACTATATGTTGTCTTCAAGAAACACACTTCACCTATAAAGACACACATAGACTGAAAATAAAGGGATGGAAAAACATTCCATGCAAATGGAAACCAAAAAGAGCAGGAGTATCAGATAAAATAGCTTTCAAGACAAAAACTGTTAAAAGAGACAAAGAAGGTCATTATATAATGGTAAAGGAGTCAATTCAGCAAGAGGATATAACAATTCTAAATATATATGCTTCCAACACTGGCATACCCAGATATATATAATGCACATATTATCAGATGCCACTTTCAGCATTGGACAGATCATCCAGACAGAAAATCAACAATGAAGCATTGGAGTTAGTCTGCACTATAGACCAAATGGACCTAATAGATATTTACAGAATGTTTCCTCCAACGGCTACAGAATTCACATTCTTCTCCTCAGCTCATGGATCATTCTCAAGGATAAACTATATTGTAGGCCACAAAACAAGTCTCAAAAAATTCAAAAAAGTTGAAATACTAATTATTTTCTCTGACCACAGTAGAATAAAACTAGAAATCTATAAAAAGAGGAACACTGGAAAATACACAAACATGGAAATGAAACAATATGCTCCTGAATGTCCAGCAGGTCAATGAAGAGATTAAGAATGAAATTAAATAATTTCTTGAAACAAATGAAAATGAAAATGCAACATATCAAAATCTGTGGGATATAGCAAAAGCAATAGTAAGAGGAAAGTTTATAGCAGTAAATGCCTACATCAAAAAAGTAGAAAAGCTTCAAATAAACAACCTAACAATGCATCTGAAAGAATTAGAACAAGAGCAAACTAAACCCAAAATTAGTATAAGAAAAGAAATAATAAAGATCAGAGCCAAAATAAAAGAAATTGAAATGAAGAAAGTGATACAAAAGATCAATGAAACAAAAAGTTTATCTTTTTTGAAAAGATAAACAACAAAGACACATCTTTAGCCAGACTAACTAGGAAAAAAGAAAGCCCAAATATTTCATATATAAAATCAGAGATGAAAAAGGAGACATTACAACTGATACTGCAGAAACCCAAAGGATCATTAGAGAGTACTATGAGCAACTATACACCAATAAATTGGAAAACCTAGAAGAAATTAATAAATTCCTAGGCACATATAACCTACCAAGATTGAACCAGGAGGAAATCCAAAACCTGAATAAACATACAACAAGTAATAAGATAGAAGCAGTAATTAAAAAGTCTCCCATCAAAGAAAAGCCCAGGACCCCGCTGGCTTTACTGCTGAATCCTCCCGAGTATTCAAAGAAGAACTAATACCAATCCTACTTAAATTATTCCTAAAAATTGAGGAGGGG